AATGCAACGTTTTTATTGGTCCATACAATCAAAATGATAGGAATTCTTTTGAACGTTGTGCACTTTCAGGTCCACAAAAACATATAACAAAGGAGTCTGACGGGTTTCATAACCATTCCACTCAATTAACTATGCTCCATACAAATCCTTCTAAATTTGACTCAGTTCCTAAGCCTTTTTTTTTTTTTCTAATTTGACAGGTGTTCATGGCGTGGTATCAGCTGACACTAGTGAACCGTCGCTTGCTTAAAGAGTGGCAAATATACAAAACAAAGAAAGTATTCAGGTTGTGGATGCAAAAGTACAACGAATCTTAATTGCAAGTACAAAGCAAGAAAAGAAAATTGTAATTACAAAAGCTTAGCAATACCAGTTTAAATTTTCCGGTTTCGCTATTTTCAAGCGTTCATTTTTAAATCACGGAGGTAGAGACAGGCACGTAGGGGGCGAAGAAAATTTAGAAACCACATTACGAGCGCTGACGATAGCCGGGAAATGTATTTTCCCTCCAATTTTCACTACGATATCGCCTGATTGTTTCTTCTTACGCTTCAAAAGAACAGGGGAACATCTTTGACCTTATCATGTACGCTTTTTTTTGTTAAAAAAAGTCCTCTTGTTAAATAGGTATTGTCCTTGAAACATGAAAGAACTTGTTAAGTCTAGTACACTAGTTTGCGCCACTTTTAGCAGTTTCATTTCTTAAGCGAATATCCACCGTCAGAAGATTTAAAATGTCTGGTTAGCAAAAGTGGTAATGAGAAATACATTTGCACAATTTTCGAATATTTTCGGAACGCAATCCACAAGGATAACTGGTTATTAAAATTTGACCCAAGTTTAAAGAAAGATTCGCCTTTCATGTGTATAGAAATAATTGTATTGTTTTGTATCTTTTTCAGAAGTTTTAGAAATGAAAACTCAACACATATTTAGCTTGTTATTTATTTTTTTACTAGACTACTATTTGCAAAGGATTGTTTATTTTACGAGGTGATTTCGTGTAAGATTGTTTTAGTGGGTTATTTATTTTTCAGCAGTGAAACTTAATAACGGTTATTCACAAGATGATTTTTATAGAAGATAGATATTTAAATTATTTAGAATTATTTATTTCGCAGATCTTATTGGGATTGAAAAGTTTCGTAATATAATTATAGCGCTCTGTAATTAAAAAGAATCGTTATGCTTTGGGAGACGAGCGAAGTCTTGGAATCAGGCTTCATTGTAAGACAAGCTTAGAAAGTGATTTTGTATAAATATGTTTAATTCTTTCATACTCACTGTAGCATATTGTTTTAAAAGGGAGAAAACGATGCATAATCATAGGGTGTTGAGCCAGGGAAAACACGAATAAAGTGTTTTTTACCTTACTTTAATGTTCTCATTTAAAATTGTTTAATCATCTGGCCGCACTAAGTAAATGAGCGGTAAGTCGCTGTCTTGGGGCGCAGGAAGACCAGCCTCTTTGTGGTCATTTGTTGTGTGCCTCACAAAGGAAAATTAAGACACCTGTTAGGTATCAAATGTCACCAGTCCCCTCGGCGTTCGCTCAGTTTGTTCTGAGATCGTTCGTCCGGTTTCGTCGTGGCTCGATTTTCTTCGGGTCTCTTCCCCAGGCGTTCTCCCTCGGAAATTGGGAGAGGTGCCCTCAGTTTCATTTTCTGCGAGAAAAGCCCGAGGGGCATGCTGGTAATAAATTTCTCGCATGGAAATTATTCTAGGCATAGATTTTAGTTATCATTATCACCATTTCATTTATTTTATTATTATTATTTTTCGTGAATTAGTAACGTTACGATGCCGGTCAACATCAGTCAAACATAGGATATAACCTTGTTGTTGGGTTGACCGTGAGAACTGAGAGAGTTTCTTCTCCTCAGCTTGACACTGTTCCGGTATTTTGTTGTTGCTTTGCTATCCTCCAGTTTTTGAAACCTGTCATACTTGTTATAAATGATCGGCAGTAACGGCGTGATGAGCACCACGCCAGAGACCGAGCATATTCCTGCCACGATCTTACCAGCTGTGGAAAAAGAAAATTGATCAATTGAAAGTAATTTTAATTATTTTTCGGAAAGACGCAGGGAGGATTTAAAGGCCGGAGTGAAAGTGATGGGGATGATCGAAAGGGAGCAAGAATCAGACCCCTCCCCCTCCCCCCGCCAAAAAAAAATTCTCGAAATGGAAAATTTGGAACCGAAAAGAACCTTTTGATCATCCCTTTCACTTTACCACCAGAGTTTCCCAACCCCACCCAGGATTCCAAGGCTGCTTTGCCGGTATTGGGCATGAACCAACATTTCGGTTGTCCCACACTTTCCTCGTGTTTTTTCATTGGGATCTGGGTACAGGATGAGCTCGTTCTTTGACTTTATTCTTTGACTTACCTAAGGTTTTAGGCACCATATCACCATAGCCTAGCGTGCTTATCGTCACCACGGCCCACCAGCATGCGTGAGGTATGCTGTGAAACACAGTTCCCTCGTCCCACTGCTCACAGTAATACACTGTACTTCCAAAGAGGACCGTACCAATCCAAGTTAGAAATACGATAGTCCAGACATCGTACACGCAGGCTTTAGCAGTTTTGCCTACAACTTTCATTTTTGAATTAAGGCGTGAGGTTTTAAGCACTTGAAAAATCCTTGAAAGACGGAAGACTTTGACGATGTAAATAGGGACCATGTTTTTGATTGAAGCGATCAATGAAATGTAGATCGGAAGAACTGCTACGATATCTATGATGTTTAGAACTCCCAGAAAGAATTTTCGCTTTTCTGGAGCAACGATAAAGCGTACTAAAACTTCAAACGTAAACCAAGCAATACAACATAGTTCTGCTTTGAAGATAATCTCCATGGCATGTAAGCTGCTGAATGTTGCAGTCGCGGTATGGTTCTGATTAGAAGTCATATGACTTGTTGTTTTTCTCAATGTAGTGATCTCTGCAAAATCCCGCGAGCTTCGTATGTTTGGTAAAGAACTGACGAATGCTAAAACAACTGCAAGCGTTATTACAAACAGCGAAAATAGATTGAGGATGCGCGCAAAGGTACTTGATGCGGGTACTTCACACACTTCCCAAATTCTCTTTCGATAAACACCTTTTGGTTTAAGGAGTTTCTTTGTCTGCAATCTTCTTGGAAGCGGCAAACTGTATCTTTTGTCGTCCTGACTCAAATAGTCATATAATCCAAAAAAATACAATTCATCAGCTACCAGTTGCTCGGATAAGCCATCGTTTGGCAGAACAAGCTTTCCTCCAGTTGTGTAGAAATTGAAAACGCTCTCAAATGCTATTCGATTCCTATCGAAGAACATTTCACCGTTTTCCGTATAAAGTTGACGCTTTGCAGGATTGCCTAGTAAACTGTTCGGGAAATTCTTTAGCAGTCGAGAAGTCATTTGATACCTTTTCCCGCTGACATTTATTTGAATCTTTTCTTCTTTGGCCAACAGCTTTTTGGACCTAAAATACCGACATGCTGGTTGTGTTGTGGGTTCTTGTTCCGAGTCGTGAAATATCAATGCAAATGTTCCCCTTCGACGCAATAGCGAACTTCCATGTGATGGCGAGTTTAAATGTTCCGGTATTCCGTGAAACTGGAGCATCTTGTCAAAGGACGAAAAAAAACGTCAGCTTCCTGATAACTTTCCTTTGAGCTCAGACAAAAACCTTCAGAGACTGTATTAACTGATAGATCTAATGCACTGCATGTCTTCGGACCCCCAACCTCTTGTGCGAGTACTTCGGAAAAGAGCTATCTTTGAGGTCAATTTTGACAGTCAATCAGTCTCTTTCAATCTGTTCTGTTTCTGATCTAATAAACGAAACCGTCACAGTTCCAAAAAGTTTTCAGTGCATTTTAACCTAAAATGAAAATGTATAGTACCTATTATTTTTCCATCCGGAGCCAATGCTAAGTCGAAGAGGTAAAAAAATGAATATTCCAATTTTCTCTGCTATTCATTTAACCTCGGTTGAATGAACTCATTTATTATCGCAAGATCTAAACTACATGCCAGGATATAAATGTACATATGTCGAAATTAATTTCGCCTGTCATCTTTGTCATGTACCTCTAACTAGATATATAGTTTTGGTAATGGACTTTACGTAGTATGGTCTAGTATGTGTACGAAACATCATTCGGGGATACAAAAGAGTGATTTCTTCTGTTGCTCCTGTAGCTCCTAAGTTATAAGCTTTTTTTTGTTCTCGCATTGAAAGATAGCAATAAGTTGCTAATATCTCCGAGGATAAATAGCAAAAGTGAGTAAAAATATTACAAATATTAAATAGTAAATTTAAAAAATAAATATCA